TTTCTCTCCAGCATGAGTTCACCAATGAACTGCAAGGTATGAATGATGTCTGAAAACTCTCCCAAATTTATTACACTAGTATGATCTCTCTTCATTATGGATTCTCCAATGATTCACAATGGTTGTAGCATTACTGAAGACTTTGTGACAATCATTACATCAGTAAAGTTTCCCTACAACATGAATTGCCTGATGGTAAACAAGTGTTGACTGCCCACTAAAGACTCTGTCACACTCGTTACACTCGTAAGGTTTCTCTCCAGTGTGAATTCTAGGATGTTGTGCCAGGTGCGAATCATACCTGAAAGCCTTATCATAAACTTACATTTTTATGGTTTATCTCTAGTATGAATTCACCTAGGTCTTTTAAGGTTTGATGTGCAACGGAAAACTTTGTGACATTCTTCACATTTGTAAGCTTTCTCTCCAGTATGAATTCTCCTGTCTCTCGAGGCTTGATTGGCAACTGTAAACTTTGTCACGTGCTTCACATTTCTAAGGTTTCTCTCCAGTATGAATTCTGTGATGACGTGCATGGTGTGCCTGTTGATTAAAAACCACACCATATTCATTACACTTGTAAGGTTTTTCTCCAATATGAATTTTCTTGTCTTTCAAGGCTTGATTTGTAACTAAACTTTTTTCATGATTTACATTTCTAAGGTTTATCTCCAGGATAAATTGTATGATGACGTGCAAGCTTTGCTTTTCGATTCAAAACCCTTTCACAATCACTACACTTGTAAGGTTTCTTTCTAATATGATTTCTAGGACTATCAAGGTTTGATTTGAATCTGAAAGCTTCATCACATTCTTCACATTTGTAAGGTTTCTCTCTAGTATGAGTTCAAGGTATGAATGATGTCTGAAAAGTTTGCCGGTTTTATCACACTTCTAAGATCTCTCTTCATTATGGATTCTCCAATGATTTGCAATAGTTGTAGCATTACTGAAGACATGGTGACAATCACTACATTTGTGAAGTGCTGACTGCCCATGAAAGGCTTTGCCACACTCATTACATTTGTAAGATTTCTCTCCAGTATGAAGTCTACGATGGCGTGTAAGGTATGACTTCCGACTAAACATCTTACCACACTCATTACACTTGTAAGGTTTCTCTCCAGTATGAAGTCTACGATGGCATGTAAGGTTTGACTTCTGACTAAATGTCTTGCCACACTCATTACACTTGTAAGGTTTCTCTCCAGTATGAAGTCTACGATGGCATGTAAGGTGTGACTTCTGACCAAAGGTCTTGCCACAGTCATTACACTT